CGGTGAATATCGTATCATAGATGATAAACCCAGTAAAATGACCATAACTCGAGAAGGAAGGCCCATGGGCTCTTGTCCTTTTGGGCTTTTTCTAATCTCATTGGACTCTACTTATCGGCAAAATATCGGCTTAAAAGCTTTGAATCACTTCGAACGGTTCCCTCGTGAGTTCGTTTATTTTGTGTTTATTTTCATGGTTGTTTTTCATCATAAAAAAAGAATGAAAGTTATTTTACTGATGCATAAAAATACGAACTACAAATATAGGTGCATATGCGATGATATTTGTTAGGAATAAAATTTAAAAAGCTATGATTTTTATTAGTAAATAAGAAGTGTAGTACACCAGTTTAACTAATCATCTAGTAATAGAAGATGTCTTAAACTTCATAGCGTTCTGGTGCTATTTCAATTAATTCATCAGAAATTTCTTTAACTGGTAGATCTTGCAGGTTATCAATAGTGGATTGTGAAATTGGAAAACCCCAAAACTTGAACAATGGAACCAAATTGTAGTTGACTTGATGTGAGAACGTTGTGATCCAGTGATCTATTTTCTCTTGATCATTATTCAAAGTTGGTTTAGTTTGTTCATATTGACGAAAAACAGCCTTGTAGCTGTTCCAAGCAAATTCTCGTGCTAATTGGGCGTAGACAAACAAGGCAACACCGGGTTTTGTTTGCCATGTATCGAAAGGTGTTCCTTTCTTTATACACTCTGTTGCATCCTCCATTTGATATTCGAGCCAAGAGTGTATCCATGGTGAAAGTTGACAAACAACATCCATGGCATGTAAAGAGAATATATTCACAGTTACTTCACCTCCATAACTAAAAGCTAAACAAACTCTTTATCCTTCTTTCGACACATCTAGATATATGTATATAATACTTACTCCACCAGTCGCGTTCCATGTTATGACCAAGTTCATGAAAAAGAGCCCAATAGCCATTCTTTTCTAGATTATCACTATCCAGTAAGAAATATTCAGGGTTTGAATCAATTACATCCATATGGGTAACGATAGGATAGCCAGAATCTAAAATAAATTGATACTTTTTGGTAATTAGAAAATGAATTCTTGAATCAAATTATTCTTACGCATGTAGCCAAATGATATTTGTTCATCACATACGATGCGTTCTCGATATGTCGGTGTAGTACCAAGTAATTCATGATGAGCTAGCACTACGGAATCCCAGAAATTGAGAGCTCGATCTAATTGAGCACTATTCAAATGGCAAACACTTTTCGAAGGTAAATTGAAAGCAATGTATTGTCCAGCAATATCTGTCCATAAACCCTGTGCGCGAACACGTAGATCTTCCCATCGTTCTTCTCGATTGGAGTCCATGAGATCATAGGTAGGCGTTAGAACAACATTCTGCAGATTAACACTAATAGAATTCGATTTCCCAGCAGGACTCTCAAGAAAGAGAAGACCACCAAAAGCCGAACTCATTTTGATACTACTACCAGACAATGGTTTGCATATAGAGATACAATGCCATCGACGTAATTCATCACATTCCTAATAAATTATATATATATATATATATGGTGATATGAAGAACTATTTTGTATAAGAACATACCCTAAGATCGTCATCATGACAACCGATTCTAGCTGACCAACCACGTGCACCAGCTTGTTCTGATACATCAATTTGTATGGTAGTACCCGCAGCTACATAGTATCCTAAGAGAAAGATAACAAAGCTGGTATCGTTTCAAGATCTGTATACATGGAGGAACTTCGTTATCCTTATATTCTTTTATGATTTTAACAAGTTTAAACATACCTGTGCAATACCATTCGTTATTATTTGACTGAATATTAACCATAACATCTGTTTCCATAGATGGTGTATCATCAAAGTCACCTGGAAATTCATTTATACCTAAGATTTACATATAACTTAGCATTTGTTGTTAAATACGAACTTATTTACTCACCAGGAGCTTTTGTGTCACATAGTCCACACAATATACCACAGAGACCAATTGATTGCTGTCGACATGAGGGATCTGTAATTGGTGATGTTTTCGTTGGAATAACATTACTTTCAGCATTCAAAACCATATCTCGCAGAGTTTCAATCAATGAATCAGGCAACATATTGTCTAGTTCTTTGATCGTCGATCCGACGATAGCCATATATTCCTTGTTGCTCGGTTCGTTGGTTAATGCCTCAATAACATTATAAACATTTTTGAATTGGATCATTTCATCTTTAAATGGAATCAGATCGGGGGTACAAGCACACTTATCGGTTACTTTAACACCAAGAGAAGCACAAAAACAAGAAAATGGGAAATCGGAAAGACATTTGTCCTCATTGTTTTGTAGCCAGCCCCATGCAGTTGTTGCACAAACAAGTGCTCCACCTTCTTGTATAAATGTGCGCTAATAATGAAAAAAATACTCAACTTTTCTTATTTACAAAAAAAGACATCACGTTATTTACTAAATCATCTATGAATGTCTCATTTTTATCATTATTTCCATTCCAAACAAGAATTGTTCCATTATTCTTGACACTATCCATCGATTCTATCTCATCAATCGATTCAAATTCTGCATCTTCACCTCCAGATAACCATTGACGACAATTTTTAACAAAATCGTGATGTGTGGTGTTATTAGGAAAAAAAATACTAAGATAACCATTGTGTGCAAATACTAAACATCGACCATTACCAAATCGAATTGCAACAACGATGACATTATTAGAGTCATCACCACATAATACAGCACGTGTATCCTGTGTTATTGGAATCAGAGTTCCAGCAGTACCAACACTACTTAAGGATGTAACGTTTTTGAATAAAATTTGAGCTACTCGATCAAATTCGTCATCATCCATTTCTTCGCTTCGTTTCTTGCCTACTGAAGAAATGATGATGTACATTCAAATAAACAACATAATGTAATCATTTGCTTACCTTCGCCAAGTAGTATTGATTGAAACGATTCAAATGAAGACGAGGAACGAACACAAGTACATCAATGTGTACATATACGAACTGGTGAAGCATATCGCACATGCCTTTGATTGCAGTATTTTTTGTATAAGTATACTTCGTTTGTTTTTGTGTTAAATGTTGACTAAGCGTATAAAAAGACAAAATTAAGTGACTGTGAAGGATTATTCAAGCATCAATAGTTCAGATATTAACTACTCTAAATTTTTCACAAAAGAATGAATTGAATTTATTTGCAGACATTAAAAAAATTACAAACATAATTAGAATATCTTTTGCATGACATTTGATCATAAGAGAGCATGATGTGATGTATGTGATAGAACGACATCGCTTGTGTTTGAATACGTATCTTCTCATTTGCGAACATGCATAATATCCAAATTTAGAAATTGTTTAATTTTAATTGATTTAATTTTTCGATTTTAATTATTCTAATAAAAACAACAAATTGAATTTAATATTTTCGTTTTGTTTTTATTTTTTAAAATTTATTCACGTTAAATGAAAAAAATTAATTTTTAAGCTTATTACCCGCATTTAATGATTTTTCATTTATAGGCAGTTTAATTTATGATTATAAGATTTGCTTTCGAAAATAAACTGTAATTTGTAGAGTACGCTAGGTAATTGTCTATTTATTCAGTATTTATCTTGTAACTGTAATTTATAGAGTTCGCTAAAATATTGCTGATGTACTTTTCTTCAGTAGATTGTAATTTGTAGAGTACGCTAAGTAATTGTCTATTTAATTCCATATTTATCTTGTAACTGTAATTTATAGAGTTCGCTAAATTATTATTGATCGATTTGTCTTTCATTTAATTGTAATTTATAGAGAGCGCTCAGTGACAGTCTTCTTTTTTTAATTATTGCAATTTCTAGTTCATTAGATGATACTGTTGCTATGTATGTCGTAAACTTTTTTCGAACTTAAATATTTTGCATAATTGTTGTTGCATTATGGAATCAAATATTGAATGGACACAAACAACTCGTGGTGCAAAAGCATTTATATATAAAAATCAAAAATATAGAAAGCGATGTTCAAATAAGGATGGTTCTGAAATATGGATTTGTTGTAATAAATCTTGTGGAGTATCAATGGTTTTATTTGATAATATTATTAAACGTTATCCACAAGAACATTTACATGAAGAATTACAACATACACCTGAAATTAGGACTTTATTGGAAAATATATACAAAGAAACAAAAGCTGATTTATTGAAACCTGTAACCGAAATATATCAACAACATTTAATCCAACATGTAAATTTTCATAAAATATTTTTAGTTTGTTTGTGTATGTTATTTCTTTTATTAGAAAAGAAAAAATGGATTAGCTGATGATGTACCTATTTTTAATTACATAAGATCAACGGCTTATCGTCGTAGATCATCAGTTCTTCCGCCAATTCCAAAAACACTAGAAGATATCGTGATACCTGACGGCTTAAAATTTTTCGAGAATGGTGAACCATTTGTTATACTCGATAGTCCAGCACCATATCGTCTTATAACACTATGTTCTCCAAAAGCATTAGTATCACTTGGTATGCTTCATGTGTATTAAATGATATCTCTTATACTAGCTTTCATTTTTGTTTTATTTTGTTTTTCTTTTAGTATGAATTCTTTCGTTCATTGTTCTGTAAACATGAAATAAAAAGATTTTATATTCATAGAGAAAAATAATAATTCTATAGGAAGATAAAGAATAATCAAAAGTTGTTTATATTTGAAAAAAAATTTGTTTTTATTGATGATAATGTGCAAAACCATCACGAGTTATTTTTTTTTCTATTAAAAAATCCCAATAAAATTAAATAAAACATATAAATTGAAAAGACAAAATTTTGATAATCTTTGTGTTAATTAGAAGTGTTTATTAATTCATTCAGTAATTAGTTTTTTGTTATCAAAATAATATAAGACTGAAGTTTATTTCTTAAATGTTTAATACTTAAGAGATCAATATTTGATGAAAATGATGAAGTATTTAGAGAGTAATAATGAATTCAGTAATCTATTAATACAAAAGAAAAAATAAATNCCCGCGCCCCCCGCACACCCTCCCACACCCACACCCACACCCACACCCACCCACACCCACACCCACACCCACACCCACACCCACCCACACCCTTTTCAGGGATGATTGATCTTGGTGAGAAACGCTTGTGGTAAAAATGTCAGTCTGATATGCCTGACTAGATCGAAGCTTTGGCTTGTTTTCCTACCTCTCAGGTGAATCGAAATAACTCTGTCGTTCGAAAGAGTACAGAGCTCGGCCTGGTTTCAAATTAGAGTTAGCCTCTGTACGCAACTTTTCATCGGACGGAGTTTTGAATCTTCCTTCCATTCATTTTTTACGAGTAATTTTGTGAACATGTTTGCAAAATAAGCATAGAAAAATGTGAATCTACGACAGTAAATTCCACGTTTCTCAGCCCTGGAATCGAATATCAAAAATCTGTCCGATGAAAAGTTAGCTCTGATTGAGACCTTTAAAACAAAACAAAAAAGCATCGGTTATATACCGAGTTGAGTGGAAGTTATTTCAATTTTCCTGTCTAGAAACCATGTTTTGAGAAAAATGCTAAAGAAATTTTAGAAATGAATTTTTCATTCAAATCCAGAACAGATCATATTACAATGGTATATTCCGCTGAATCGTTTTAAAGGACATAATAGATGAAGGTAGCTAACGCCATCTGCCATTCTGATTAATGTAAAAATATTCTATTCAATGATAATGTCAGTGGGAATGCAATTTTTCTGAAACTGAAAACCTTTAAAAATCACGAAAATTTCTCCGAAAACATGGTAGTAGATTTAAAGTTTCATGTGATAAGTCTTTGAAAATCTGATCATTTTCCAAAAAACTATACATATTCTGAAAGAGGAAGCGTCGTTGCATCTTCCTGTAATAAAAACTCGGTTTTCTAAGGGGGGGGGGGAGGACTTAAGATTTGAAGATAACTTTATATGTTTTTCTTTCTTTTGAAAAAGAAACTATTAAACTAAAACCAAACATAAATAGAACGAGTTACGCCTCTCTGGATAAATGTAAAGAGCCATGGCTAGACATCAAAGAAGACTAGAAAAAAAGACAAAACAAAAGGAAGGACAAGAAAGAAGAAGTGGCCGGCATATGAGAGAGTATGATCTAGTGTTATCAAGAGAAATAATAACAATCACCTAGTAAATCACTAGTGCAGATCAATAGGGATTTGTTCATACAGCATTTGTAGAGCTTTTCACGGCACATATTTAAAAAAAAAACCAAGGTTTTATCATTTACTGGAAGCTGAGATATATGCTAAATAAGAAATGTTGCAATCATTTTGGCACACCCGGTATTTGTGTTATAAATCTGAAGTCAAATACAAATGGAACTGAGAAAGAATCGAACAACATAAGGTGTGCCTTTTATTTTGTTAAGAGGGAAGCAAATAGAGACACGAGTATAGTCATTTTATAATGTGAGTTACTTTTAACAGAGCAACCACTCTATATGTATCATCATTTGTTGTATAATCCACTGATGCAGCTTTTTTTTCTTAATATCATATGTTATGCAGATATGTTCAAGTGCTGCTATTGATAATACTTTCATAACACTGTTGTATGGATATGGTGCCGCTGCGAACAGTTATTCACAGCTTAACCGATCTTTCCTCAGCAAGCAGCTCCAAAATTTAAACGGAACGTGTGCAGAAGTAATAGGATTCATGGAATATGGGCTATCGACACTAAGCGAAGAAGTATTAATAAGCTCTACTGCACTATTTCGAAGTGAATTTATCGAAGCAGTGAATAAGAAAGTTGAAGAATCTATATTTTTATTAAAGGCTGAAGCTCAACGTGTGACGAAAGCCAGTTTTGAATTATTTCGTGTCAATTTGATCCCAACAACTTTTAACACCGATCGGAACTTAGAGTATGGAAATGAATCAAATAGTTTTCTCATACGAAGTACGCCTCGTACGTTTGCCAATAGCATATGTAATTGCGCTGTTTCCAGCATATGTCAACAACCTTTACGAATTGGTCCCCCTGATATAATCTTACCGAGTCTTGTAATTGGCTGTTTACCAATGAACGGTCTACTTATGTCGACACTCGAATGCTTTTTTTTCATCGACCTGCATTTCAAGCATCATAAATCACTTAGAATACTATACACAAATGGATGAATCACTACCGGTCAATTTTACTTCCCCCTCCCCTCCCCCAACGCCTCCTATCATTATCACTCCACTTAATAGTTCATTGTCCTCACACTTTTTGACAATTACATCAATAGGAATGATTGCTGACGAACCATTTATTGAAAAATTGAATCGGGTTATGATTTATGAAAAATATTATGCAACATGCGCATCCAGTATATGCCACTACGAATATAGTAGACACAAAAATATCTTGTATACTGTAACAACAATATTAGGTCTTTATGGTGGTCTGATTGCTGGTTTGCGACTGGTAATTTGGAATTCGATGAGAATCTATTAGCGGATCAAAAACTATCTCGATGGCCATGTTGCTCCCATTGAGCCATGGACATAAATATTTATCAATCATTAAATTTGACTTGATCTAGACGTTCAACAGATTCAAAATCGCATATTCAAAACTGAATGTAGTTGAAGAATTATTACTAGACTCGCACGTCTTGACCATGCAATATATTGTTAGCTAAAAGTATGCGAAGCTCATTGTTCTTGGTTTCGACGCTGTATTGGAATAAGAGCATGGTCTCGTCAGTTAAAAGAGAGGATAACTATTAGTATATGTACAAATCATACTTTTGTTTCGAATCAATCTCAACAATTAAACGTGTCGAACTTGACGGTGTAGTTAAAAGGATATCTAATCTTTTAAATAGAAAATTTTTTGTTTAAATGAAGTACGGCGCCGCCCAAATGCTGAAATCACATTTAGCTCAAAATGGGTATACTGATAAGAATAATATTATTGGTTGTTAACATCGTTTTCCTTCGTCTTATTTTCTTGTCTTCTTTTCTTGTCTTCAATACAAAGTTTGAAAAGTAACATATTACTCACTTCCTATCTAATTTTTCCGGCAAATGACTGTTGCATTTACATTATTCATGCAACTTGTATGCATTTCTTTATATATTTATGCTTGGTCTGAACTCCTTACTCGACAAATGGCGATGTTAATGAACCAATAAGATAGGTTTATAAGAGCGTCACAATAAATTCATCGTACTTTGATGATCTGTTTCCTGCAGTTTTCTAAACTTTTCAGTTGTGTTGGAAGCTTTCAGTTTCGACCAAATTAGAGTAAATCCAGTGAGACTATTCAGAGAGAGAATATGGAGGAAGTCAGCGGGAACAATTATCGCGGGAGGAAGATCATTGAAGGAGAGAAAAGCTACCAGGAATCATTAATGTGAAATACTGAATATACGTAGACTTTTGAACATTCGGACAGCTGTCTTTTCAATCGAACCAAATCTGCAAGTTCTACACCGCTGTCAATAATAAAATCAGAACAACGATTAGTTTCATAGTACTAATATGATGACATTACCCGCTTATTTCGTTCGCTTCTGTCTTGTAATGTGATTTTTTTATTTCACAATATATATATGATAAAAATCACCGTACAAATGATCGTCATTGTTCAAATTTTTTGAGAAACATTCGGTTATTTTTCATTGCGGCTATGGGATATGAATTTTCTTCATTGTCATTATCAATTCATAGCAAATAAAATACCTAAAGATCTGGATAACTTTCATAAAAGACTCGAAGTAGAGTGTAGGATTGGATGTGAATGTTGGTGTTGATGTTGATCTATTACTTATTTACACTCTCGCCCACACCCTATCTACTGTGATATCTTTATTACGTATTATATTAGATGATAACATTAAATATAATAGTGTATAGATGAAAATTGTCGTCAGTTTTTAGGCTTTAGTCAACAAAATGATGAAGGAAATAATCAAGGAATACTAATCATGTTTATGACGCGTAATCTTATGATTCTAAAAACAAATGTACATTGTTTTAGGCGTCAAATAAGTTAAGTGAATTTTGTTCATAAAAAACTCTTGTTTTTTATATTTTTATATACCTTGAGTTGTTTTTGATGTAAATTTACCTGTTTCTAAAAAAATGCGAATTCCTCCATTTTTCGCGAAAGCACTTCAATTTCGCCCAAAACGAAAATAAGATCTATAAATATAAAAAATAAGAATTTTTTATGAACAAAATTCATTAGCTAACTTACTTCCTAAAACAATGTACATTGTTTTGAGAATCATGATACTATGGGCTAGTAGCTTTGAATCTTGATCTTACCGATAAAAACAAAAATTACAGCCTGTATAGCGCACATTATGCCGAACGGTCAACCGGCAGTTTTTTTTCGATTCGAGTCACATGGATAGTCATTGCCAGAGTTAAGCACTAGGGCAGAACTCGTCGGATAACTTTGTTCTGCATTAAACACAAACTATACGTGATAAATCTAGTGACGGTCAGTAACTACTCTTCGTTACTTCAATATCAAACTATCTAATACTTCTAGTAGAAAGTTCAAGAATCTTTGTCTAGGAATGATTTTCCAGCAATTCATGAACTTAGAAATGTCGAATCATACAAAAAAACAGATCATTATTGTAATTTTAAGGCTAGTTTTTGTGAAAAATTTTGCATAAGTAAGAACCACTAGTGTTCTCTTTCGATTTGAAATATAATGCAATATGTCATGGAGAAATAATTCTTAAGTTTAGGTGTTCCGAAACTGATCCAAGTTTTAATACTAGATTTTGAAAAATATTTTGTGAACGATCTTTGGCTTTTCAATGTTTTCCTCGTATATTTGGAGCGTTCAAAATTTCATGACTACTTCAGACCTTCCCGAATTACTTTCTGATTATGTCAATTGTCAGAGTTTAGCACGTTACTTTTTTTTATCTGAGCATTTTCTGAGATCGCTGGCATTGCAATCCTAATAATTTACCGAGAATGCTAAAGGAACACGAAAGTAATATGTATCGAATCGAGTCTCGACTCAAGTTCAAGCCCAATTACACAAGTACGAAAATACATCGTACAATCATTTATGGTTTTCGTACTTATCCAACACTGAAATATCGCATAGACTAGAAAACTAAAGAAAACAGAATATTACGTAGAACTATCTGCAAACTCTCCTCTCGTTCATCAAACTAATTAGAATAAACTTAAAGTTTACTTCATATGTTTTGTTCCAAACTCTACTATTTCCTTTAGCATTAGAAAACCAGTCTATTTCAGGGATGCAAAGCAAAGAATAGCCAAAACTACGACTTTATATGCAATGACAGTTATCTTGAAGGATTTATCTAATGGTATTGTTACATCTGTAGAAAAATGTCTTCATGCGCATGGCTGTTCAAACAAAATACAAAATGCTGTTCTTTTCCGATCAAAGATCCGACTGTTTCTCGAACAAATGGTATAATCAGTAGAGATTGACCAACGGTTTGAGCATTTTGCAGAAAATCGTATACAAAAGATGAACTATAATCATTAGAAAAGGTCACAACAATGCATAAAACTTTAAATGGTATGATTTTATTAATAAATAATAGATGTCCTACATTAGTTCAACTAATAATCTTCTTATCTAGGTTAATTGTGTCCCTCAGAAGGTGCTTTAGACTTTATAGCGTTCAGGTGCTATTTGAATGAATTCATCAGAGATTTGTTGAATTGGCAGGTCGTGAAGGCTATCAATAGTTGATTGTGAAATTGGAAAACCCCAGAATTTGAAAAGTGGAACCAAATTATAGCCGACCTGATGCGAGAAGGTGGTGATCCAGCGATCTATTTTCTCTTGATTACTTGTCAAATTCGGTTGAGTTTGTTCATACTGACGGAAGACGGCCTTGTAGCTGCTCCAACCAAACTCTCGTGCTAGTTGTGCATAGATAAAGAGAGCTACTGCGGGATTTGTTTTCCATTGATCAAAATTTGATCCGCTTTGTATATACTCGCGCGCCCTTTTTACGTTATCCTGGAGCCACGAATGAATCCATGGTTGAAGATGACAAATAGCATCCATGGCATGTAGAGTGAAGATATTCGTGGTTACTTCACCTGTACCATCAAAAGCTAAACAGTCTTTGTTTGTTTTTAAATTTAAGTGTATGCATGTAATACTTACTCCACCAAGTACGTTGCATGTTATGACCGATTTCGTGAAAAAGACCCCAAGCGCCTTTCTTTTTTAGAATATCAATATTAAATAAAAATCCTTCATTCTTCGGATCAGATACGTCCATATGAGTGACAATTGGATAGCCACTATCTAAAATGAATTAATTCTTTTTGGTAATCAGAAAATTTGTGTCAGAATCAAATTATTCTTACGCATGTAGCCAGCCGATGGTTGTTGGTCACATACGATACGTTCTCGGCGAACTGATGTAGTACCTCGTAATTCATGATGAGTCAGTATTAAGCCATCCCAGAAATGAAGAACTTGATCTAATTGAGCACTATCCAAATGGAGTACACTTTTCGAAGGAAGATTGAAAACGATATGTTTGCCAGCAACGTCTGCCCATAGACCTTGTGCATGACCACGTAGGTCTTCCCAACTTGTCGCTCGATTAGGATTCATGAGGTCATAGGTAGGTGTTAGAACAACATTCTGTAGCTTAACACTAATCGAATTCGATTCACCATTAGGACTCTGAAGAAAGAGAAGACCACCAAAGGCCGAATTTATTCGGACACTAGTACTAGACAGCGGTTTGCATACAGATATACATGGCCATCGACATAATTCATCGCATTTCTAATTAATTACATACTCACACTGAGATGAAGAACTGTTTTATATGAGCACATACCCCGAGATCATCACTGTGACAACCGACTCTGGCTGACCATCCAGTGGCACCTACTTGTTTTAATATATCAATTTGTATGGAAATACCTGCAGCCACATAGTATCCTAAGAGAAGAAGAGTGAACGTGATATGGTTTCAAGATTTGTGGACATGGAAGAACTTTGTAAACATTAAATTCCTTCATGATTTGAGTAAGTTCAAACATACCTGTGCAATACCATTCACTGTTATTCGACTGAATATCAACCGTGACATTTATTCGAATAGATGGTGGATTATCAAAATCACCAGGAAAACTCTTTACACCTAAGATTAACATATACTTCAGAGTTTCTCATTCAATCTAATCCTACTTGCCAGGAGCTTTAATACCAGGTAATGCACACAAAATGGTACACATGCTGATCGATTGTTGTCGACAAGATTTATCTTTAATCGGACAACTACTCACAGGAGTAACATTACTTCCAGCATTCAGAACAATATTTTGTAAGGGCTCAAGCGGTACACCAGGCAACGTACCGCCTAGTTTCTTAATTGCCGATTCGACGATCGACAAATTTTCAACATTGTTCGGTTCGCTGGCTAGTGCTTGAACAACTTGATAAATATTTTTGAATTTGACCAATTCAGATCGAAACAAAATCGGATTGGCACAACTAGCATAGTTATCGACCAATTTGACACCAATATAATCACAAAAACGAGCGAATGGAAAATCCGAAAGCAATTTGTTTTTATTTCCCTGTAGCCAACCCCAGGCAGTTACTCCACAAACGAGAGCACCACCTTCTTTTAAATATATACACTAGTAATATGAAAATATTTAACACATTCCTAATAAAAAAGACATGGTGCTACTTACCAAATCATCCATGAATTTATCACTTTTATTGTTATGTCCATTCCAAACAAGAATTGTTTCACTTTTCTTAACCTTGTCCATCGAATCCGTCGCGTTGATTGATTCGAATTGTGCATCTTCTTCTCGAGACAACCATCGACGACAGTTTTCAACAAAACCCTTATCTTTTGTATCATTAGTGAGAAAAATACCAGGATAACCATTATGTGCAAATACCAAACATCGACCATTGCCGACTCGAGTTGCGACAACGACGACATTTTTAGAGTCGTCACCGCATAGTACAGCGCGTGTATCGTTCGTCATCGGAATGAGAGTTCCAAGAGTGCCTAGTTTACTGAGAGATGTAACATCTTCAAATAAAATTTGAGGTACTTGATCAAATTCGTTGTCATCCATCTTTTTGTTTCGTTGTTACCTATTGAAGAAATAATGATAAACATCCAAAATATACACAATGTAATGTGACCATTTACTTACCTGCACAAGTAATATTGATCAGAATTGTTTGAATAAAGGTAAGAGAAAGAACAAAATTACAACATTATATATACCATCTTGTAAAGCGTATCGCACATGCTTTTCATTGAAGGTTTTTTTGTATAATCATACTTTTTTTTCGTGCTTTGTTCGCCTAAAGTGCATAAGCAGGGCAAGGTGTAATGAATGCATAAACCAAAAAATCCCTCCAGAAATCGACATTTTTACTATATTGACTATCCTATATTTTTTTCAAAAAATGAATTGAATACGGATATATTGAAACGATACTTGGATTAGACTCAATAAAGTACTGGCATCCCGTGGTGCATAGTGGACTAGTCGGATGTATTACCTTAGTAATCGTTGTATAAATCGAAAACATTGTTTGCGAACTGTCAAAACACGTTGGATTTTGGTGTTGTTGTATACATACGAGTTACAATAAGAGCAAATTATTGTTCAAAGGAGCTTGAATACAAGAATCACTGTATCCCTCTGGTCAGATTGATTTAGACAGATCTGGGGCAATTTTAGTGCTCATGCTGGCACATCATACCATTTGGATCAGTATGTTTACTATGATAGAGATCTACTTCTCATGAGAGTGAAATTATAAAATATAATGCACGGAAAATTCAATGTTGACGTCAACGCAGGAATTTCAGATATTACTATGCCATATTATCATACAGAGCCCTCTGTTTTAACTTGTTTTCAATTGATTAGAATCGAACTATTTAAGATACAGTAGTCATCATCAACAAAGGTTTTTTACGAGATTTCGTTTTTCAAATTTGATGCACAAATGACCAAACAAATAACATCAGGTAAGAAGAATCAATTACTTTTTTGGAATGAAATATCTCTTACTGCTATTTTATATAGATACATCATTTTGGATCCAATTTCTTCATGGTTTGAATTCATCAATTGATAATAATACTCTTTTGCAACATGCCACAACATTAGCTACTCGATTTTCAACAGTGGAGAAACTATTAACTACTGATGAGAACTAGATTGCCATTCAGCGCAAAGTGCTGAATAGAATATCCGCTGACTCCACGAGTCCGAAAAATGTCAGAGCACCATTGTAAATGATATCTGCCATTTTTAAATCATAGAATAGCTGGCTAGTGAAATATGATGAATCTGAATCAGCAATTACCATATAAGAAACCACTCAATTGTTCATGGTCGTTCTTCGCATCTGATCTATATAAGTTATTCGAAAATATTTTTCAGCGTTCGAGACTTCGTAATTAAAGCATATCTGTATTTAACATCTTAGATATATATGGTCACTCAAAGATTGAATCATGCATCGCCATATAAGGAAACTATCAGCTGTTAATTATCATTTTCGACATTTTTATATGTGTCGAACATCGCCGAATTTCGAAAAATAGATCCCTGGTATGCACTCATCAAGTTCTCACGACCTCGTCAGACTTTTTTCGGCTGAAAATGATACTCTGGAGCTGAGAACGATTGGCTGACTTGGGTCGTGGCTCATGTGTTGAGAAGAAGAATTTGCTATGACAACTAAACAAGTGAAAAGCAGCTAGAATGCCATTCAGCACTGCACGTCGGATGAAATATCGGCTGACTACAGGCACGATGTTCATTTTCAGGGAGCGTAATAGTTATTTTATTTTTTGTGAAATTCCCAGATATTTTCGAAATAGTAAGTGCAAGTTCAAGAGCAAGTTTTTGCTGCTTTCCACTCCTCCCTATTATATACACTGGCAACCGAGAAGTACAATTCTTCTTTTCAATGCAATCATAGAAAAAAATCAGTGCACAAGATAAAAAGAAACTTTGCCTAATCTGACATCAGCTAGAGTATTGTCGGAATTTAAATTAATAATATTTGTATGCTAATATTTCTAGTAGTTCAGTTTGGAATTTTTGTCTAGATAAAAGTTTATATTTAAGACGTTAATGATTATTAGAAATGATCAATTGATCAAGTTGTTAATGTGAAAAAAAACCCGTATCGGTGTTCTGACTTGATCGAGATATATAATAGTTCATTAATACGTGCTATAGGTAAAATATATGTGTTAGAGGTATATTTGTCGGTTGAATCAATTATTGAAATGATAATACAATTAAATTTAAAAAAAGAAAGAAAAAAAAATATTTGCAAGACTCAAGAAGGAATAAAATAGATTATGTTTCTGCCGATCGATGATGTTGGAAAATAACTCTAATGAGGTACAGTTTTTTCACTTTACATATTATGTATCAGTATAATCAGGCTAAAGAAGCTATATGAATTCTATATTTTAGCATCGTAGGGGCTGCGCTAACAAGCTTTTCATCAAGTTGGGCAGCTCATTTCAATAATAATTCGACTTATAAGTTTACGAGGGAACATTCCCATGTGCGCATTCGCTTTTGAGTGGAGACTATGCACATCATGTAGACATTGATGAGTTATGACTATGATAAAAAAAAGTTTATGCCTATAGCCAGCTTCTGAGGAGATCGGGCGTTTCTACTATTACAGCTATAGGAGTCATCCTATCAGAAAAGAATCAATATCTCAATCAGTATAAATCGAAACGAGCTGACATTTTGCTCACGTATAGTGGTCTCATTTGGTAGATGATGCGAAAGTTTGAGCCGAAATGACCTTGAAAAGACGAGTTTATCGTAAACGTTAATGTGATTTTTAATGATATTAATTATATTATTTCCTAACATTACAAAACATAGAACTGAAATTTTAGAATAGTAAGTACTAATCTCGTAATACTATTCCAGATACTTGATAATTATAGCTTATCACGATACCTTATTTATTTTTTCTTCGGTCTTGATCTTACCAGCATATATTAAGAGCGTTGCATATCGAAAGAATAAGAGACAATGGCAGAACGGCTCTATATGTCAAACAATTATCTTTACGCTAAAGTATCTAGACTATGATGAAAATGATAATTGAAGAAGCGATGTTCAAACCAAAAACTATTTTTACACCAGCTGCAGCAGATGAATGGAAAGGATTCACAGCAATGACTACTGCATGCGACATTATGAAAAGTAAAGCAGACCTCTTTGACAGACATAAAAGAACCTGGATGATTGTCTATATATCCGCATGCATGCCAAGCATACTTTAACATTCCTCGAAAAATAGGTGCACACAGATGATTGTAGATAAGCGGTTGAGTACGAATAATTTTATTACGTTCGCTTAGATTGATATCAAGGTCATCAAGTTGAACTCGATCAAAAATACGACGTGCAATATACTTGTGCTGATTATTGTAATTATACGTCAAGGGATTGAATTTGTTGGATCATACGTTTAGGTATTTCAAATCTGTAAAGTCCTTCAATATCATTGTAGATACCTGTCTTATTACCTTGAACAGACTAACAATCGGAAATGAGAAGAGTACAATGAGAAGATACATAAGAAAGCATGACATAATCTCGTCGACAGCTGACGATGCTAGAATTAAACTTGCCCAGGTCAATGATTCCGGACAACAGATCCTGCAGGAACCGGCAGGAAAATGCGGGAAAATTCACCGTATCCTACAGGAAAACACCGGAAGTCGCCGGAACTGGGTGGCAGTATTCCGGCCGGAAATTCTCCGTATTTTTTCCGGTGACTTCCGGTCAACTTCCTCCCGTTTCCTGCAGGAAGTTGGCGGAAAGTCACCGGAAAAAATACGGAGAATTTCCGGCCGGAATACTGGCACCCAGTTCCGGCGACTTCCGGTGTTTTCCTGCCGGAACCGGCCCGTACTTTTCGACCTNACATTGTATATTATTATAGTTTATGATAAATAATATCATCATAATGTGTATTCATTATTTGTTCAGAACTATATAAATATTGAAAAATTTCAATATATTGGACGTCCTTATGTAATTTATCTATGTAAATAGACTATGAAACATGACAAACTTGCACATAGAGTAGAAGTAAGCAAATTTTATGAATATCTTTCAAGATAGTTTTTTACTACATCTCATGATAGAAAGATGTTACTCAAAGCGATCTATTAAATAATCCGTTGTTATTTTTGATATCCGATTATCTTTCTGAGTATAGATTGTCCATTAAATATAAGTAAAAATCTAGAAGAATGATTGTTATTTAATCAAGGGTGAGCGAGGTCGGATGCCGTCCTATCATCAGAAGAAAAAAAAAGACGTAATAATTACCATCATTGACACTATATTTCATAAATATTCTCCAAGATCGTAAGACATTGTTTTATCATCAAGCAATTCTTTATTATTCATATATTATAAGACAAAAAAAGATAATTATGAAAATTTCAAATTTAAGGTTCTATAAACTAGATTTTAATTTCTGAAATTCTTTCTCTTCGAGTCATTATTCATATTTAAAAACAAGTAAGAAAAGCAATCAATTGTGAATGTCAAATAATAGACTTGCCGACAGAAAGATAAAAGATTAACTCACTAATACAACTTTCTTTTCTAAATAACTGCTTCATAAATAGATTCTATAATCTATTATTGCCTTCAGGGTGTCATTCGAATAGCTTAAAAAAGAAAAAAATAGTTAACGAATATGACTTATTTCAATAGGTAAATTCTATAGAACATTTTCTTCACTATACCATATGTATCTATTAATATCAAGAGAAAAAACGATTAGTTATAAAATTCTCTTGAGTATACAATAGTCCTTTTGTTCATAACAACTGTCAAATAGATAATAATTTGCCATTTTATTATTGGAAATGAACAATTTAATTGAACAGCAATTATATAATAATTTGTAATTCTTATCAATCGATATTTCAAAAATTCTTTTTCTTAAATTTCATTATATTATAACGACAGCTGTTTCGTTTTCTTTTCTTTACTTTATCATTGATGTTACATCAGATTTGAAAGAATTCGTCTGGAAAATCTCTCCCCCCCCCCCCTCCTCTTTGCACATATACGAAGCTGATTTCCTTTTTAACGAACGTCGGTGAAGTTCACTACCTACTTTTGATTTGAAAGAGAATAATCATTATTAGTCAAGCGTTTCTAATATGTAACAACCTTGGTCATTCATGCTTACTATGTTCAAAACTACCACACCCGATTTATATTTTGTTCGAACATCACTCATCTTTCAATTAACCGACAAGCATCTATACTAGTCGGTCAATTCAATTTTTTTTTTTTTATATGATTCTGCTTGGGGCTGATTTCAATAGGATCAGTGAACATGGAATAACAGAGATAATTAGCAGCAGGCGTTCACTTGAACATGAACGCATTTCTTTTTTTTTTTTCATTTGAGATGCATACAAACGTTCAATGTTTTGGAATAATCAAGTAGGAAAGAAAAAAAAGAGAAAGAGAAAAAGAAAAAGAAAGAGCGAGAAAGAGAGTGAGAGAGAAAAGTATGCATACATTGAACGGAGAAAACGATTGTCCATTTTACTTGACACCTTGTCCGAAAGACAGAATAAAGAAAATCATATAAGCAACATCGATCAAATGCTATGTTGTTATTATATATTCTTATTCATTTAGCTGGTTCACTCGTGGCTTTTGATACAACATTTGAAAATTATACAGTACCAGTTAGCGGAAAATGTATACTAACTTGTTATGTAGCTGAAGTTCGTTCATTTAAAGTAAGTCAATCATATTCTTTCTTTTTTTTTTCTATTTATGTCTATGGAATATGATCTGTTGATTCAACAGATCTGTAGTTATATTAGATTGATATCATTCTCCACCCATATTCTTCTTATGATAAGAATATATAGTTTTGATGTGATAATCGAAAGATAAACAAAACTAGACATATTTTTCTTTCTTCAGGAAAAAAAGAAAGAAGTATTTTAATTTTGAGATGATTAAATATTCTTTCTTGTTATGTTGTCGCTTTGATTTCAAGTGTTCAAACGAAGAAAATCATGTTTCGAAAACAAACATAACCTGTATATGAGATGTGATCGGTCGGTAGCAAAAAGAAAAAAAGTAATTATTTACATATGAGAAAGAGAGAAAGGAAAAGATATATTTTGTTCGATATGGATAATTTGATATTTGTAATGATTATTTACATTGGTGCACATATATATGCAACATATTGCATTGAGAAAGAGACATACAATCAAGTTCAAAATTTCCATATGCGGATGGCGACGAACCGGAAGATGATGATTGTGTGTTTGTCTCTCATGTGAATTGAATGGATGAATGTATGTGTGTGTTTGTGTGAAAAAGACATTAGAGTTCGATTACAAGGCTAGATACACACACACATATTTATATGAAATCGAAATATACATAAATTCTATTCTTTAAACTAGTTCGATAATTACTTGTGAATTGTCTTTGAACTCTATACTTAAGTTAATATATATATATGACGAACTCAATGGTAGTCAATCAATAAATGATTGTCAATGGACATTTTTTTTTGCATGTCTATAATGAATAATATAATTGAATTGTATGTTGAATAGGTACTATGGCAAAAAATTGATCGAATAAATCTAGGTGGGAATCAAACAAATGGACAACAAGAAGAACAACTAACATTAATTGCATTTGATGGAATTGTCTATTCGAATAAAGATCATTATCGTCTTGAATCTGATTATGTTGGTTCATATAATTTAATTATAGATCGTGTTAATGAAGATGATCAAGGTGAATATCAATGTCAAATAAATACAGAACCAAGAAAAACGAAACGGATTTTTCTTACTGTTCAAGGTATTTCGAGAAAAAAAAGAAGATATTTCGACTGAATTTTTCTATTTTTAAGTTCCACCACGTATTATTGATTTTCGTCCAAATCCTCCAATAATATCCATACGTAGTGGTATATCATTAACATTATTATGTCGTGCTGAAGGAACACCATTACCTCATATACGTTGGCGTTTTCGTGATATTGATATGAATCGAATTGATTCATGTAAGTAGACATATTAATGAGAGTATGCACTCAATCATCTTTGTTTTACATAAATTCACATGCACTTTCTAAGCTGATTAGAATAGAATATATATATATATATCGCGATTGTATTTCGCAAAAGAACAATAGAGTCGTATTGACACTTGTTGTTTTTGTATATATGAGAGCCATATGTATTTATTCTTTTGTTTTTAGTACCACCTGATAATAGCAATATATGGTTTATTCCATCAATTAATAATAATTTTCCACATACAGTTGAATGTATTGCTGATAATGGTGTTTTACCAGCATCAAATCGTATATTTACAATACATGTTGAATGTAAGTTTATGTTTATAATTTAAAAATTTAAAAGAAAATATTTAGATCCACCTATTGTTATAATAAATAAAAATTTTATTCAAAGTCAATTATATCAAAATATAACACTTGAATGCTCAATATTAAGTCGTCCGTCAGCTCGTATTTATTGGGAAAAAAATGGACAAATAATTGAAGAAAATAAAATGAATATTATTCAAATAAATCAAACAATGTCAATAAATCAATTAAAAATTCAAGTAGATAAAATTCTTATGCATAATCATATATTTATAATTTTATCAATAGATGAATAATGATGATGATTTTGGACAATATAATTGTATAGCTGACAATACTCATGGACGAATGGAAGCTATTGTATATGTACTTAGTATGTATCTTTTATAGGTTATGATATTGAGTTGATGTTTTGAGTCCATACATGTAACAATAATATCTGATTGGTAGAGAGCTGCGGGTCCTTCCAGATCCGGACCCGGTCGGGCCCGGGTCCGGGTCCGGGTCTGAAAATTTAGGTTTTCCCGGGTCCGGGTCCGGGTCTATACCTAAGAGGAAATTCAGACCCGGTCTGCATTAAGTTACGAATAAAAATATATATATCAATAACAATTGAAGTCAACAAAATTGAAAGAGAAACAGTCAGAAATAATTCTACACTCATTTTATCTTTAAAATGGCCAATGAAGAGCTAAAATTGTGTTCCCTTTTCTGTTCATGTACACAGAGGGTGCCAAATATTGGTGAAAANGAGCTAAAATTGTGTTCCCTTTTCTGTTCATGTACACAGAGGGTGCCAAATATTGGTGAAAAAAGGATTGGGTCTGGACCCGGCCGGGTCCGGGTCGGGTCCGGGTCTGAAAATTTAGCTTTTCCCGAGTCCGGGTCTAAAAAAACATGGACCCGCAGCTCTCTACTGATTGGAATCATCAACCCGCTCTTCATTGATTTACATATAGATATGAGCAAGACGAAATATTAGAGATCATAGAAGATGTCTCGAGCGCATTGATACTGCTAGAAAAACATATCGTATATTTCGTTGGTACATGTATTAATGAGCGCGAAATTGAGACTAAAAACGATTGATTCCGCTCATTAGTATTCATGAATATTTTTTTTTCCTTGGGAAAAAACATCTTTCAGCAGAAATATGCACTCAATGATTTTTATTTGTCATTTTACTAATTCATACGGTATTACTGTTTTTTTTTTCTCTATTGTTAAACGTAGTTTTAAAGTGATTTCTAACGAAATTCGAACTACGTAGATAGTATTACGACATTGATCTTTCAAAGGAGAGATTCGATTAAAATATTTCTACTAACATGGTTGACATAAGATGAACAAATGAGGAATATAATATGTGAATCATAACTTCAATAAACATATTAACTAATGGAGAGCCGGCTTATGCTTTGGATTAATTTATTGCCGCACGCATGCACCTATTATCATAAAGAATAGTATCACTTCATAGGGGGGCAGCTATTTTCGTTCAGGACTGTATTTATAATTGCTATTAATATAAATTATTTTTTGTATAGAAGAATCAGTTGTTCTTACGACTTTAACAACAAAAAAGCTTCAACGTCATTCAAAATATTTTTCATCACGATTAAATTCTAGTCGAAAAATTCTTCGATCAACAACAACAAAAAAAAATGTATATACTGAACGTGATATTCATATTAGTTCGTCATCATATCGTCTTTGGACATATCATAGATTAAGCAATCTTTTGTTTGTTTTATTATTATTATTATGCCAATTTAAACGAATCGATAGATGAAATTAAGATTCATGCATGCGCGTGTGTATGTTTTACAGTGATATATTATATTTATTGAAAGAAATAAAATAGAAAGAATAAAAGAAATAGTCAATCATGTACATCCGGCTTCTTTAGCCTCTTGGATGGCACGACGACGATTTTGAAGGTGAACGGTTAAGACAACAATAAGAACAACTAAAATCATTATTGTAACAAATGCATATGTATAAGCGACACTAATTATTGCTAAAAAATAAACATTTTTTGAACACCAATTTTCAGGATCTTCTGTTGTTTGTTCAAAACGTGGTAAACGATAACGCCATAATAAATGATTACCATAAATAAACCAAATAATAAGAAAAAGTGTTGTAAGAACTTCCATAAATGTCTAGAAGAAAAAGATATATTTATTTATTGTAAATAAAACTTCTTGGTGATCTAAATATGTGACGAACAGTTCAAAAATATTGAAAAAGAAGACTTAATTGTTTTCATAAAGCAGAGATTTATTTAGAATTTGATTAGAAAAATTCTATTTGTTGCAATTTTCAAAACAGAATTCTATTTAGAATTAAAGATAGAATGCACGAAACACTAAAAAATATTATGTTTTTGAAATAATCCTCAACATATTTTTGATTAAATTTTGTAGTCATGAGAAGACTATTTTATAGAATTTTATCAAAGTTTTTGTTGATTATATTAAATTTTCAATAGAATTTCATTGTAAGATATTGAAGAATTTAGTGAGGAATAATATTTGTAAATATATTTTATCAGAGAAAAATATTAATAAAAGTTCAAGTATTTTACTCTACAGAATTGTTTTGTAAAAACGAGAAGAAAGTATATAGAATAAACTTTATTTTTAGCTGATAGTTAAGAGTTCTATTAAAAGATAGTTTACTCACCTTGAAATCTCAACAAAATTCTATTTTTTGCGCGCATTTCGTTTTTTTTTCGTAATTCCATAGAACAATGAAATAAAAAAACGGTATGATGAATTCCAGTGAAACTTAATACAATATCTTTAATTATCGAATACAAAAATATGTACTTTTGTTTTGATAAAAGTCAATGTACATGTTATAATGTTTATCTTCTTACATTGACGATTGCATTTTATAAAGAATTTCTTAATTTATCAAAATTTTCATTAGAATTTATTTCTCTCTTGCAGGAGTTCCAGGAAGACTTTACCTTCTATTAAAAACTATATAATTTTAATTAATTTCCGTTAGTGCCTATCAGGAAATTATTTTCTTAATGATATTGTCCATGATATAGTTATCATTTTGATGATAAAATTTAAATTTTTGACAAAGTTCTTCTATATTTTTTTTTTTGATAGACTTCTATTTAACAACGAAATATACATGAAAAGAGAATTATGTTATAGTCTTAATTTACTATCTAATATACACAAGTTAATAAAATTCTGAATTCTTGTTCATCAACATCCTTTATGTTGTCTAATACATTTTCATTTGATTACTTTCACTTTACATGATATTCAATCATGAAAAACACGTATTGTAATACAATTAAAGCAATTAAATACTTCTATCATATTATTCTTAAGACATAACGCATATTCCTCATGAGATTTACGCCTTATTATTGTTGTCAAAAATTACTTTAAGTTAACAAACATCTTCTTGAAAAATTACTATATTAGATATTTGAGATGTTTTCTTCTAAATTTAATTAATTTAATATCTTGAATTTATAAAATCGCAAAAGAAAATGAATAAAGAAAAAGACGTTATTTCTCATATGTTAATTTACTTCACATTAATAATATTGACAGATATAAGGGATGGGTGGAATGTGCTAGAAGCGATCATCTCTCCCTTTGGAAATTTTTTTCTTTAGTAGAAAATGCCTAACAATGAGTCGATATGACTTCTGATGAATTCCAAAACATGTTGTTTTTTCCGGCTCTATTCCTACTTTTAAAGCGATTTGTATTACCAAAACTCTAAATTCATTAGTCAATGAAGATTTTATTTTTTTTGTAAAAATTATCTATGCGAAATGTAAAAAATCTTAAATAATACCGATCCACTTTGAGCATCCGTAGTTTCTTCTTCAGATGGACTACTATGACGATTATATTGTTTCCAAAGAACTTGTAATAATTTTAATAAAGCTAAAGCTCCGCCAACAAGTACAAAAACAGGAATATTACGATCTAATGGACATTCTTCTAAATTTGAAATACCTAAAATCAATATTATTCAAGATAAACATGTCTATGAAAGAAAAATAAATCTTACCAACACTGATCATAATTACTGGTAGAACAAGGGAAAATGCAAAGACAAATGAAGCAGCTTCTAGAAGAAACAAAGACAAAAAATCTTCTTTTTACTTAAAGAGAAATTGATTTTCCATTGACATTACTTGTTTGAAAGAGAATCGACGCTGTTTTTCTGACAAAATCAAAAAAATGTTCAGCATCTGTATATTCTTCATATATACGTGCAAATACCGATATATTTGTTTGACGATCTTTAAGTTCGGTAACTGACCATCGAGATGAATAAATGTTATGATTTCCATCACCGTACTAAAACAAAAATAAAAAAGAATATATAAATATATTTCTTGAGTAATTAAATAAAACATTTTTTATTTACAATGTCCATGTAACATGGCCGTTTTGATTCGTTTGTGCAAGATAAAAAGGATTAAGAAATTATACGATTTGTACGCTTGTTTCTTCTTTTACTCGTATTTTTCTTTTAAATATATCTATTTTCTATCTAAAATAGTCTTTACATAATAAACGACAACGCTAGAAATAGAATAGATGAATGAATAAGTGAGAAAATGGTAAGAGCAACTTTCTCTCGTCATTGCTATTTCCGAACAAAAAAAAGTAATCATAATCTATAAGACTTGAGAGGCGAACATAAGAGACAGCAACCGAAAGAATAAAGAAAGGAAAAGGCAAAGTCAGATTGTTGTTGATGAATTTCAAGACGAGAGAAATAAAGAAACAGGGAGAGGGAGAAAGAAAAAGTCTCTATACATTTATCTTACTCGTTTAGAAAATAATCGATCGATAATAATTTTCTTCTAATATCTCAATCACACTCTATTTTCATCTCTTTAAAATGCATAACAAGTGTTTCATTCTAAGTTTGATGTCTCTACAAGTTTCTTTTTTTCTTCTCTTTTCGCTTGATTAGAAAATATGAATTAACCGGATTTGACGTTAAAGACGATCCGCTTAACCGGAAGCATTCATGTTTAAAACATGCAATATCTATCTCATACGTTCATTCTTCAAAAGCTTCAATCTGGCTGCATGTATATGATATTCTGTTGACTTATATATTTATCTAGATGATTAGAAGAGCAATTATGTGAAAAGGAAGAAAAGCAGCATGAATAACAAAGTTTAAATAGGTTATCTTTAGAGACTAATCAATTATTGAAAAGCTTATACAACCTTTATGTTAATACATTGTTTTTGCTCATATTTAAGAACATATTTTTACCATAGATCGACTCATCTCATTTTTCTTTTATTGAAAAAAAAAACAGGAAAAGATAAGAACCATATGCAATAAACCAAAAAAAAAGAAGAAGAAGCCAAGTCATCTAAATTACGATTTGACGGCAAGGCCGTGCTATTACTTCTTGTTTTCTTTCTTTTTCTTTTTTTGCTTCTTTTCTAGAAAGAAAAACAGAAAAGATAATAGAATACAAACTAAATAAATTAAAATATTCTCACATAACGGCTCGGAAACAAAAACCATAATAGGATAATATGATGTAATCAATCGGTCAGGTAATGGGATTTTTCCCATGCATAAATACATTCCACTTTCATTTTTTGATATACGATCAATAAGTAAACCATCAATTATTTCCGATAATAGAAAATGATTATTATCTATTTAAATTAAATTAAAAAAAAAAAACAAAACCTCTTCTTAGATTTATTTACCATTGATACGTATAAGAGTAGCTATAGGTAAATAAGATGAATTTGTTTTTAATTGAAAATTAAAATATTCAGGACGACATGCAACAAATAATGTTGCATTTATTCGTACATGATATTCAGCTAATCCTGATGATTGAAATGATATTCCATTTGTTTCAACAATCACTTTAAAAAAAGGAAAAAATTTTCTATTAATTAAAAAACAACAAAGAAAATTTTTTCTTTTTTTCCTCACTTTGTGTTATTAAAGTAATTGACGTTGATTTTATTGTTACTTCCTCTTTTGTCATTTGTATGTCTGTAGGACGAGAACGACAAATATATGTACCAGCTACAACAGGTGCCACTCGAAGATAAAGTAAATGAGTATCACTTAATATATATGATGTTATTCTATTGAAATAACAAAAGAAAAAAAAATCAATGCAAGATTATTGAAGATTAGTTTTTTTTTTGTTACTGTTGTTCGGAAGACGTGCTTGAACTAATAATCGTTCCATTGTCATATGTCCATTCGGGTTCAAATCGATCATCTGTTGATTGACAAACAAATGTATATGTACGACCCAATTCAACATTTATATAAGAAAGATTAGGAATTATTTGTAAGATTTGATTATCATCTATGAAGAGTTAAATGAAAAAAAAAAAACATTAGACTTCTTTTTTTTTTTTGATAATAATAAAAACTATTTTCGAAGGTTTTCTTTTATTTTTATCAAAATACCGACATATTAATACTAATGAATCTCACCAGGTGCAAAAGATAGATATCTTAACATTCATTTTCTTCAGTATCTTCATGGACAGGAAACATATGTTACTATTTTTGAAAGAAGAGCAAATAGTTCCGACTTTATTCACAAGTACTCATTAAAAAAATTAGAAAGTACATTTGAACTTGGATTAGTGATCTGTAATTTTATTGAGATGTAACTAATAATAGAATAAATCATAGGAAAATATTTGACGTAATAACATGATGCTATTAATTTAAAAGATACCAGATCGAATTAACCTTTCGTGATGTTTTTCACTGACAATGAAAGAGTGTGTATTGTAGTTCAAAAACCTTCGGTATATTCAGGTCAAATGAAAAGTAACAATGGCAAAAACTAACAAAATATAAAATATGAACAGTTTAACGAAAACGAGCATGTCATTATCGAGATATTTAGTATCTAAGAACACAGAAGTTTACCATAGGATAATACAGAAATTGAGTCTACTTGAAAATTGTATATAACGAGAAAGACATGTTCGTTTTCGTTGAAACTTTCAGAACAATCTAATGAACTATCAAACGTACTTAAAGACATCATTTCAGCTCAAAACTCTTTATTTTGCCTTTTTCAAAAATGTCTTGCTCTTAGTAAAGGTTTCCTTAAAACAGATCATAACTCTTCAATAGTAGATCATAGACATCAATCATTTTAAGCAATTCTTAGTCTCATCGAGATCTACTCATAGTCTAAATACAAAGTCGAACGGCATCCGACACTTGTATATATATATACCCTCGTGAGATATTCAAATTTTAAGGTGTCTACAGTACATGGCATGTGCCAACAATTCAAAACTTCAGCATGATTCATTTTCTCTATCCTCCATGATTGGATAGAACTTGTCGAGTTACTGTAGAACATCTATTTTGCACATATAGAAAAAGATATTTGACGAAAGTCAGAATATTGGGTGTATTTTCCTCTATGGTATTGTAAACTTTTCTCTGAAAATGTTTTTCTTTATGTGAAACATATTTTTGCTTGTGCAACTCGACAAGCTTCATCGAACCATGGTGAAAAGAAAAAAATAAATTTTGCTTAAATTGTAATTGTTGGCACATGACATAAATTTTCCATACCTTAAAATTTGAACATCTAAGTCCATGCATATTATAAACAGCCTATATTTTAAATAGTTTTTCATCGAAGGCTGGTGGATCTGAGGTTATTGACCATTCTGATTCTGAATATAGGCATTAGAAATTTCCTTAGGCCTTTAGAGGCTGGAGTTTTAGAAAACTGATTTTCTAGACTCACATAGTTCTGTCAAAATCGTTTGTAATGTACTTCGATTATAGAGCTTATTGAATTGTCCCTAAGTCAATTATCTTTTCTGTTTTCCAAAATATGAGTTTTACGTAAAATAATATCATTTCGAGAGTTTTCATACTGAAATATTGATATGTATCTGTTGTCTAGACAATTCAATATACTCTGGGCAGATCAAAAAAAAAGTTTTTTCTTGAGAAGTTTGTTTGCCTGGGTACCAAGTTTTCTAGAAAATCAGCATATAAAGACATAAAGAAATTTCTTATGATTATATTCAGAATTCGTATGATCGGTAATTTACAATTCGTTAGCTTTCGATGCATAAGATTTTATTTTAGTCTATTGAAATCAAATGAATATTCGAGTAATAGTAATTTGCATGGAAAGAACTAACAGACAGAAATTACTATTTAAAAGCTTAAATGATTAAATTCTCAAAAAAGTGAAGTCTTAAAAAATGTCCTCACATTCTATTATTATTTTCAAAGAAGAGGCATGATAGCTTATTCTGATCTGAATAGGAACTCAATTCTTTTTAAGATTTTTATTAGAACACTATGTAGTATTTATAGGCAGAATATCATCGAAATCAGAAAGAAACATCTGAGAAGACTCCTTCGTTAGTTTGATTCATAAACATATTGTTCTATTGATGGTACTTTTTTTTTTTTTAATTTTTCTATGTTAGATCTTAAGTTTTATATGCACAAATAATGATTTCTTTCCTTCTTTTTTTTTCTGTTATGCATCTTTCATATCATACACATTATTATAATTATTCATTCACCCGTTATCTATCTGTCTTTAAATGTAATCTTCTTTTGCTTCTTTCATGTTTCTGGCTATTATTTTTTTACATAACAAATATGTCACAACGTGAATCTAATGTAATATTTATTATTTCATTTTTGATGATTTATAAATGTAAACGTCTTCTTTTGATTGACGGGTTATATTTAATAGAAAAATAAATCCACTACAAATATAAATTATTGAATAAGATGAGAAAAAAAAATGTTTTCTATTTTAATCACGAATGATTCATTCAAGCTGTTTCTTTGAATAAAATAAAACAAGTTTCGATGACTTTCTAAAAGGATTTCTTTTGACAATTTTTATTGATAGTTATAAATTTTTTTGAGCTTTTAATAAGCAATTTATGGATGGTACGAATTTAAATCAATGAAAATAGAATGACCAGGAGTACTCTGATGTCACATTCAAGGAAGGCTCAGAAGTCCTGCATTATTTCTATAATCAATATTTTTATAGCGAAAATGTATACTATAATGTGTTCTTTAAAAAGTTCATTTACAAGGTAATTTCTAAATCAAAAAACATCTGTCATGTTTAAAAGCACATTTGCCGGTAATAATTAAAACATTTAAAAGAAACTAGCGGTTAAAGCGTAGCCTCAGCAATGAAAAAAATTTAATCAATTATTTGATAATTAATTGCATGGTTAACAGATTAACTGGATATAATCAATTTTTTTCACTAATTTTATTTAAAACACAAAAAAAAGGTTTCCGAAATGTAAATCGATTTTGTCAATTAGTTCTATCAAGCTTTTAAATATGACAGACATATTTCTAGGTCTCGAGCTTTCTTACTAAATGCACGCAGGAATTCAATTTACATTAATTTCCAAGAACGTATTTTATTATAGATTTATAAAGATACTGCTACAAAGACCCTCATGAGTCACCCTTTATGTATCGCAAAATTTAACTAATATAAATCGAGATAGTCTGATCTCAATTCAAATGAAATTGAGATTCCTACAAGATAAAATGCGAAAACCTCGGATTTAAATCCGAGTGTTATGTGTACTTCAAAAAGTGAAGAGGTATATTCACTTTGTTTTTTATCAACGGAGGCATATCTAGGCAATTTGCTTTTTGCATGCAGTTTTTCTGCATTTTGAGACCTTTTTCAGGGGATGTTTTGTTAGAAAGCTACGATTTGGTTCAAAACTAATATCAAATTCGGAATCA